TGCATTTGCTGCTTTGGTTTGCTGTCGAGCTCTTTTAAAATAAATATATACATATATTCCTTGTGGCAGAAGCTGACGAGAATGTGGAAGGCATAAGGGACAGCCAATGTGGCATTGTTTTATTTGACAGCTTCTGAGACCGCTAAAAATAGAAGTGAGGCTCCCAGAAGACACTCATCTTAATAGAAATGGTTTCCATTAAATGTAATATTGGTTTGTTTATTTATAAACAATTTTGGAGCAGTGAACACAAGCACATTATTCTGCAATGGATCAAAACAAAGGAATTATTCCTGGGTTACTTCATTAATTAGCTTTTTCATGATTTATGAAAACTTAAAACTACTTGCTTACAGTGTTTTATTCAGCTTAAACAGCTCAATAAAAATTTAATTTACTTTGAGGCTATTCTTTGTTTTTGATTTTTATGTTGGTTTAAAGATTTAATCTTTAATCCATGCTCACATTGTAAATTGATATATTTAGCCTCTTATATTATTACAGCTTAAAAAGCCTATTAAAATTTAAAATTTCACGAGCTCATTAATTCTCTCATAATAATGATTAATTTTTACTCTGTTGAAAATTACTAAAAACTTAAAGCAGGCACAAATTTGCCGCAACTGTGAAAGCCTCACGAGCCATTGACCCCAATCATTTCCTACACTTGTTCACTTCGCCGCCTTCCAGGATGACTGCTTACCCCGGCTCGACCTCAGAAAAAATGTCGTCCCCTCTTTTGAAAATACCAAAAAGTTGCTACACAAAAAAGCCAAGCAAAACTGAACGAGAACTTCTGTGGAAACATTTCCCATTCAACTTCATTCGTTTGAAACTGAACAATCCCAAGGCTTTTTACAGCCACTTGTTGTGGTTGCGGGGGGCAGGGGGCAGTAATCCAGGGGGGGGGGCGGGGCTGATTTTGGGGGCTGTGGCTCCAGCCAGGAACACATGTAGGCCACGCCCACAATTGCTGAGCGCCAGCCGCGCTGTTTTGGAGTAAAAACGCGAAGTCAAACAAGCAAAACCTCAGCAAACAGAAAATTATTCAAATTTAAATTAAATTTTAACAAAAACTAAAGATTTTATACAAAAAAAGGTAGCCAAAAGGAGAAAAGTTACAGTTTCAAGGATTACCATAAAGGCCTACCCTACCCAGAAATATGGATTTTGCGGAAAATCAACCAGAAATAACAACAACCAAAAGCAGTTAAAAAGTTTTTAAGTGCACAATTTATAGCTACCGATTTGTTGTCTGGTCCTGGACCGTTACCTCCTCGCCCCAATCCTCGGGACCTCTCGAGCGTAAAGCCTGAACAAAATCAATATGGCCTGGAAAAGCGCATAATGAGAGTGCACTCGTATGTTTTTTTTTTTTTTTTTTTATATTCCATTTATTTACAACATTAAATCCTTAGTAATATACAAATAACAACAAACAGAAAAGAACGAAGACTGCAAATTGTTTGATTGAAGGCTGCTTTGATTTACGGTGTAGAGGGCCTTGGTCGCGCGGTGCACTCGTATGTGTGTTTGTGTGTGTGCGACTGCATTTTAGAAAATATGAAAAGTCAAGGAAAGTTTATGGCAAATGAGTAATGAGTGGCAGAGGCGGCATGACTCTGGTTCCCTCTCGAAATATTAACCCGCTCACTTAAGGCCAAAATTCGAAAACGAAAGGAAAACTACATGCCTCGAGTTGGCTCAAAAGGAAATGTTGGAAAACCTAAAAATTTCTGGTGAATTTATATTAAGAACTTCTTATTATTCTTAAATAAATACTGGTTTGGCAAATCAATAATAAAGAGTTCATATGGGTTTTTCGTGAAGCCTTGAACTTGCAATATTTAATATTTAAATTCCACGCTTGAAATTTACATATTGAGCTTAAGGATACTGTATTTTTTGTGATCCACGTTTCTCCACTTCACAGCTCGATACAAAAAATTACGAAATAATTTTGTGCTGAAAGCTGCTCTCAGGCACTTTAACATGCTGCATGCTGCAATTGCTGGTTTGCTCTTTTTTTTTTAATTAGTTGTTGTAGATTAAAGTTTGACAAGTACTTGGAAAACTTTTTTCCGCTTGACATTTAAATGCACATGTGTGTGTGTGTGTGTGAGGGCCGTGCTAGACTGCCTGTGTGTGTGCTACGGTCGTGTGAATTAATTAATTATATATGAGATGAGCTTGGCTTAATTGGAAGGCTGGGAAACGGATTCAGTATTTACTCTGATCCGCTGAAATCAGTTAACGTCAAGAGTCAAACGGGCGAAAGTCCATAGATTTATATCAGCGCTAAGTTAACTTAATTAATTTAAATATGATTGACGACACAGTACACATACAGTGCAAGCTATATTACGAACAAAATATGATTAATGAGAGCGTTTTCTGGAGCAAAAAATTAAACATTTTTTAATTATAATTTAAACTAAATAAGTGGATGGTTGAGTAATTGATTTAGTAGCTATTTTTTCATATATTTGTATATGTATTTTATTTGAGTATATTTACTTACCAAGAATTTACCAAGAATTAAATTTTTTAGGAATTTTTAATATTAGAATTCCCTACTAAAGCTCTTAAAACCCTCTCGTAACTCACATTCCTACAGTCTAAATTGACACTTTTTCTTACGTGATCTCCAACCCAGCAGACGGCTATAAATTATTATTACATTATGCAGAATAAATCAGGAGGAGAACCAGCAATGATATCAAAAAGTGACTTTGATGCTTGGCCCGAGGTGGAATTTTTATGCGACTAAGCCCACGCCCACAGTCTATATTTTTTTCTGGGCTCGGATAAAATACTCGAAGGAGTCCAAAACGATGGGGGGTCGAGAGTTAAAAATTGTTGATTACATTTGAATCCCACTCATAACTGTCAAAAAGTTGCTGGTCTGCTGCTGGCATGCCATCGGCACTACACCGTGGCAACGTGGCGTATGTGTAATGTGTGCAGTGATGCCACCGATGTTGCTCCTGCCGCTGCACAGGGTCCAGGAATGAACTGGCTGTCATTATGTCATGAACATATGAGAATGCGAGATGTTTATACTTAAAAAGCGCTCATAATAAGGCTGCCTGTCAGTTCCTGGCTGAAGGCCAGCGGTGGTAGACTCTGAGAGCCGATGCGATGCGATGCGATGCGAGGCGATGCGGTGGAGCTGCCACCTGTCGGAGAGTTGGAAGCTTTTGTTTTATGCCACACAACTCTTGGCTCCCCACCACACCACACAGCAGTTCATTATATTATCTGCTTAAATTTAAATACATCGCAATGATGATACATGTTGGACTGCAATCTGAAAGTATAAGCTTACGAAAAAAAAAAATCAAAAGAAATTATTTAACCAAATTTTAATATTTCCCTTTCCTGGTTGCTTTTATATCTTGAAATGGAAACCTTACAACTTCTTGCCATAAATATATTTTTTAAGATACATATTTACCATGTATTCTGTGGTTTTACTCTGTATAAGCGCCTAGTCTGCAGCGGCTGTCAATATTGTGCAAAATGTTGTAATTAAAATTGTTATCTTTTGAAATTGAAGCGCCCAGCTATATATGTGTGTGTGTTGGTGTAACGGATATCCATGCAGGATGTCAACCATTTACACTATGCTACGCGGCTGGCATACTAGTAATTTTACACCTGTCTCGGTGACGAGGATGCTTGATGCCCGGCACCCTGCCAACTAACCCTGGCTGATCTGTCCACATCCTCTGTGGTCCCTTGCCGTGCTCTGATTTGGATTAAACGTTGAAAATCATTTTAGCTACAATAACAACTAAAGTTGTAGTGTGCACGGTGCTTAGGTCGATTGCCGGGTCACAATTTAAGCTATTTCTGGAATTTTACAAAGCTCGATGTACTCTGGTAAAGCTAAAATGGGAGCCTTTGAAAATGTACTTACCACAAGAAATAAATACCCCATTTTAGTATGCTTATGTTGCCCTGATCAGCATGATTTGTGCATTTGGGTGCCTGGATCTCACGTAAAATAGAACTTAAGCTTTAATTTCTATAAATTGTTAATTACTTTAAAATGTAATTACTTTGTCAAAATTCTGGCGGATACAGTAGCCTTCAATATATCCTTAATTTTAACTTAGTCACTTTTACTGTCAATCTCTGCTAATATCTCCTTCTTTTTGTACCAAGGGACTACAGCAAACGAACAGAAGATGGTCTTTCCCTAACGTGCTCATTTATTAAGTGCTAATAGACGAGTGTACATGGCTTCCATTCAGGCTAAACTAGCCACCCCCTGGCTACAGCCCGAAAATATGCCAAGAATTCGGCACTGCAGCCACTAAGTGAGAGTTGACAAACTTCCTGGGCAAAGGAACTGCCAAGTGTGGGCTGGGCGCCGCAACAATTTCATAAGAAATTCGTGCAAGTCCGTTGACGTCGCAACATATTACTCACCAGATCCGTCGTGGGCCTTATCCTTGTTAGCCAAGGTTGGGCCCTGGCATATGTAAAACTTTTAACAAACATGACAACACACAGCCAAGTAATATCGCATGCCATAAATTACACTTAAGTATTTAACAGCTTTACGCCCCCAAAAACCAGAGCCAGCCAAGCAATAAAATAACGATGAAGGCCGATAGCCAAAATGGGCGGCAACCTAGACGGCTATGTATATTCATGTATGCTCCCGACATATAGTCTTGAAAATTATTTTAATCAAGGCTTTGGGCTAGTCTCTGCCATGGCAGAAATGTTAAATCTAAGACCGATAAAAAGTTTAGTTTAGCATGAGGAATTTAATTAAGTTTATACTTCAATTCGTGATTTAGTGTTGCAAATGTAGTACAGTGGTTATTGCCACATTATCTCCAGCAAACTATGAAGATCTGGGCAAATGCTAGGCTAAATCATTCAAAAGTAAAATAAGGTATTATCTTTACAAACCATACTTCTTTCTAGACCCAATCCAAGAGTTGGCCTGCAGCCATTCCAGAAGTCTTAAAATCAATCGGTAATTGTATACTCGTAATATCGGCTTTATTTATTCAATTTACAGGGTCTCAATGGTCTTCACGATCCAGGTGTAGAGTGAGGCAACGTCAGCGTAGACGCCGGGGTAGTTAGTCCAGGCACAGCCATTGCCCCAGGACACGACGCCGACCAGCTTACCATCGGCGACCAACGGGCCACCAGAGTCTCCCTGGCAGGCGTCCTTCTTCTCGCCGGTGGCACAGACCATGGTGTCCTGGATTTGTTCGCCGTAGTTGTAAATATCGGAAGCGCAATCCTTCTGTTGAAGCAGATCCACGTCCACTTTCTGGAGGTTATCGGGAGAGCTGCACAGCAGGAAGCAGGTGGTGCCCCAGCCGGAGACGACGGCAGTGGTGCCCGATGCGGGGGTAACTTGGGCCAGTTCGATGGCACGGATCTTGGTGGTCTGGCGGACGGGGGTGCTCAGCTTGATGACGGCCACATCGTTGACCATGAGTTTGCTGTTGTAGCCCTCGTGGAACTTGAAGGTACGCACGCTGACAACCTCGCCGCCGCTGCTCCTGGAGGTGGATCCCAAGCGCACCTGTATTTCATCGGCGGTATAGGACTGCATGCAATGGGCGGCGGTCACCACGGTATCCGAGTCGACCAAGCTACCGCCGCAGAAGTGGGAGCCCTTTTTGGTCTGGATGGACACCTGGTAGGGATGGCTCTCGATCTCGGCGGCCTCGCCGTTGACGATGCGCCCGAAGGGGAAGTCGATGTCCGGATGGGCCTGGCAGCAGGCGCACAAGGCGACCAGCGCCACCACACTCAAAAGCAAACGATTCATTGTCACAGCTCAACGATCACTGGGCTCCACTCCGCTCCGTGTCCATGTTTTATAGGGGGCCAGCTATCGACCGTGCTCCTTCTGAGTTGTAAATCAGGTCGGCTCTATCTGGAGCCGAGTTCCATGACGTCCCAAAGATGTCTGATGATTAGAGCACGCTATCGGCCATAAACGCGTGCCAATCCAAGGCATTATCGAGCGATAGTAAATCTATCTGACAGGAAGCTGAAGACAATCGCACGAAAAGATTGCATTTGATTTGGTTTAAGAAGGAAAACAAAAGCAAAGTACATTGATATAGATCTTGGCTATTTTTGGGGTAATGGGAATACCATAATAACTTTATGGTTTGACCTTTTGGTTTCCCTCTCTTGCTCAGGCAGAAATCTCTTGGCTTTTCCCATACACAATAATAAATATTGAAAGATTGTGTGCTTAATTCAATACACAAATGAATCTTTAAAGTTGATTTAAACGCAAACAAATTAATTCTCTAGCAACTAGCGTTTTCCTGCCGGTTCATAATTCAATTCTGACAAATAACCCGTCTTTAGCCACTAACCCATAACCTCATGTTATACAGTTATCTTAACTCCAAGCTGAAACCTCAGAACGCATTCGCATGCCGGAGACAGCTGCAATCTGTTCCACCGACGCAGCAGTCACAAAGAACCGCGAACAGAATAAAGCTTTATCTTATCATGGTGGCTCTGAAGCCAGTCCGTAAGTAACTTACAAAGAACGGACATCGACGGTGGGGCGGGGGACGCGCAGCCCCGGGGCCACGAACAAGACAAACTGTACGGTATCCGAGTTGACCAGCCACGATGGAGTGCAGCAAAAAGTTAACATGACCATGAATTTGAGCTGTCAAAGTTCATTTTTAATTTAGCGCTCACACAACTAAACCCGTGCTAGCTGGCCAAGGCAAACGCACTCCGAGGAGAACAATCTATTAAACCCGCACAGCCCGGGCAGTGGGTTTCGTGTTCAGCTTGTTCCGAAAAGTTGTTGATATCTATTACCGAAGATTTGAAGCAGTTCGCCGGCATCCCAACTCAACTTAACTCCTGGAGGAGCCGGGTTTCGGGGCAGGATGTCTATGTCTTGTGGCAGGGACTTAAAGACTGTTGCCAGTTGAATGGAACTGACTGCAAGACTGGGACCACCCCCAACCCCCAACCCCGGCCACGTCCACATCCTCACACATGACATGACAGTTGGTTATGCCGGGGCCACAAGGCACGTAGCGCATTGCAGTTAAGATTTGGATTTCCTTCGCCGGGCGTATCAAAGGAAACAACGCAAAAAATCTAGAAAATACTACAAAACACTTATCTGGGTGACAAATAGAAAACGAACCAAACGAAAAGCCGGCGGAGGGGCGTCCGACATGGCAGCGGGAGCCAACAACATTGAAAGAAAAATGTCTGTGAGTAGATTAAAAAAAAAAATAGAAAAGATGAGGAAGGGGATATAAACGAAACGAAGAGCGACTGGAAAATAGAGCTGCACAAAGCAGGAAAATGGCTCGCGTTGTCGTTATAATAAAGGCATGACAACACTCCATCGGACAGTGTGGCAGGGATATGTGTAAATCGGGCTAAAATATATTTTAACAATTATTATAAAATATAAAAACAGCCTAACGTAATTACTGAGTTAAAAATTAAAGACTAATTTAAGTATTAAGTCGGATATAAAAGCTTTCTTAGATACAAAATATTTTATATACATTATGTTTTGGTGCTTAGATTACAACATCTTTCTCTAAAATAACAAGCAAATACTAAGCAATAACTACATACTACAAGTTTAATCAAATATTTTATTATTTCAAGATATAAGATATAAGATATACACAATTCTCACCGATATAAGCCCACGGTTGCCGCGACACGGTCGCTGGGCATGGTCATGGCTGCTCATATGTGCGTCGCTCTTGTTTCAGCCTCGACCGCCTAGACAACCTCCGTGTCCTCCACTTTCTTCGTCTGCTGTTGCCATTTCTGTTCAGTATTTATTTTTTCTATCAACGTACGAGTTCTCTGTTGTTGTTAATATTTGCAAGACGCCTTTATCTTAACAAGATCGGGCCAAGGACTCGTGGGTGGAAGCGAGTGTGCGATGCGTCTGCCGTTTCCTGTGTTATTTAAAATCATTTTGCAAGTTTTGAGCTGTCTGCGAGTTTGTCTTTCTATTCCGCTTGGCCCGACCCGAACCCCGCCCCGGCATTGTTAGTCCATTCTTTCCGCACACAGAACTGCTGTACACGGATTTGTTTCGTTATCGTTTCTTGGAGTGTCAGAAAGGACAAGTACAGGGCTCAGACCGATGTCAATTGCCGGGAGAAGACACTGCCTTGAGTGGGGGAGAGACACAGGCAGTGCATACAAAGCCAGGGGATCAGGGTGTGCGAGTGCTAAGTCCATCAACTTAGTAGGGAGATTTTCCCCCTTTGATCCGCTTCGATCCAGGTTGATTCGATTATTACTTTGGCTTGGTACGGATGGGAGCTTCAGTTGGCAAGTTCACTCTTGGTGCTCTCGTACGAAGAAGCTCTAAACTAATCCCATTACACATCTGGCATCCTAAATTAACCCTAGGTACATCCATTACTCTGCTTATTTTATGCCCCTCCAACTTAGAGAGCATTTTTCATTTGCCCAATTTTAGCTGAATTAACTTTACCTTTTCCAGTCATGGCAGAATAATTTTCTGACCCACTCATAAACCACTTTCAACTCCCGGACGGACACTCTAATAAAACATAAAAAGATACGAAAATATGATGTGTCCCAAGTCCATAAACCATTTGAGAAAAATCAACAAAAAGAGCGTCCCGCTATGGGGATGCAGACGCATTTTCACCGGGACGGTCTCCAAAAACTCCTGGCAGGACTCACTCCTGGCAACGCACCCACATATGAGCCATAAAAAGAGTAACAACAAATGCGGCATTTGTTATTAAATAACAACATAACGATATCTAATTTCAAAGGCCGGGGAGTAGGCTGATCATATTTAATAAATTTTGTTAGATAGGTTTAAGGCGCGAGGGGAGGTGGAGGCGGAGGCGCGGAGGTCATAACCAGGCACTGCATATTTCTCCCATGGGGTCCCATTGTGGCCCATTGTTGCCATGGCTGCTAGTCGGAGGCTTCTGCTCCCGCTCCATCTCCCTTCTCCGGCTCCACCCAGCGTCGGCCTATTAACCACATTTTAAGCATAATTGAATTTCGTGCATAAATTTCGGTTTATGGGTCGTCGCAGGGAGACCACGACCCGGCCAGATTATTACATTATTTACTGGGTGTGTGGGCCTGTGTGTGTGTGTGTTTCTGTGCATTTGTTGCTGGGACCGACAGGGACAGGGCGATTGGGGGTCTCGGAAGCGAGAGGACGACAGGCTGCGACAGTGGGGAGCAGCAGGCCAGGTGGCGCCACCAGACGACAGGGGCATCAATTTTATATGACGCTCAGCTCGGGTCGAATCTCTCGTTGTTTCATACTTTTTTTGCCCTTTGAAATGGTTCAGTGCCTCCCGCTGCTGTTGCTGCTGCTGCTGAAAGCCCCAAAATATTTATTAAATTTGGTTTTTACGATATAAACACAATCATACGCCCAAACACAAGCGGCTGCTGAAACAAAGCGAGTATAAAGGCCAGGCAATTGGTTGCAGTAACATCTCTAATATGTTTTATGTATAGAGTTAGGCAAGGTAAAGGTGTGCCGGGGTCCTGGAGAGAACTAGAGAATAATGGCTCTGACCATAATAACAAAGGTAAATTATTGTTTTGTTTATGAGATCACAGAAGTTGTAAGTCACTGGTTGTACGTTATTTTACGATCAATAACCATATACATACATATAATATTGTGTAATAAAAAGGTATTTCTGGAAACTGTATTATCTTTTACCCACTATCTCAGCCTTAAATTACCAACCTTAATCAAACCATTCTTATCGAGGTATTGATACAAATAATTCTAGGAAGCTACAATTATCTACACAATTTGACATTTGAAATTACTTACCCCTTAACTATGATTCTAGGAATCATCCTCAGACCTCTAAGTACTCAAATCCTGAACAATTTTCCAATTGAGATCAACCGAATCAGTAGCGGGGAAACTTCGTTGGCGGAACACACAAATCTTTGGCTCCCCAAGCTAGCAAAACCAAAGTTTCCAAACAAACAATTGCCGCTCCATTTAACAGACTTTCCCTGCCACACACACACACACACACACACAGCACACATATGGACCAGTCATATGTTAAGCCCCCAAAAACGTGGCCGAAAAAAAAGCAGGGAACAGAAATTTCAAGTATGTACAGCGAAAGTTCATTGCCGCTTTTTAGGCGCCAACAGAAGCTTACTTTCCCAGACCAGAGTGGAAAAAAAGGCCTGGCACAAAAAAAAGCAGCCAAGAACAGAGGCAACACATCAACTTTTTATTAGCTGCAAAATAAACACAGTGCGGCAGGGGGGAGGGTGGTGGCTGGTGGGGCCAGAAGGTGCAGAACTGGGCTAAGACGCAAACAAGAAAACAAACAGCCGACAACACAAAACGCAAACAGCGGCGGCAAGAGTTGAGTAACAAATATTTACAACGCGGTACGTACAGAGTGCCCCAATGCCTTCTTTTCCTTCCTTCCATCTTCCCTTTTTTTTTTTGTGTATTTTTTTGTTGGTTAAGACACTGCCAAGGACCAAGTCAATGTCGAGGCTCGCCGCGGTCCTTCGCGACTTAATAAATCTTATTAAAGTGCGCACAGCCTCTAAAGTATGCTCCGTTTTTATTTTTCGCGGCCCACCCTTGGCATAGAATGCCTACTGTAAGCGACGCGGGGGTCTGTCTACCTTGTTTTCGCTTTACATAAATTTATTTCTCACTCCGTGAGTATTTGGCAGGCGCTGGGAGAGCGGGCCGACTTTAATGAACATCAATTTGGGCTGATTGTTGGACCTATAACGCTGGGATGGAGAAGACAACGACCAAGTTCTGGACGGGATGGGAGCAGATTATGCATAAAATTGTACTACACAATATGACTACGATGAGGAATCGCTGGTAATGCTGGGAGCCAATTTCATTATTTATGGCCATTTCTTGTAGAAAGCGGTTTGTGGTTTACAATATTACTATATAAATAGATATCAAACTGCATAGAGGTATATAAATATCTTATCGTACAAACGGTGGACTTTGACAGGTCCATCGGGTTTAAGATTTCATGGTAAAGTCCAATGGACTTTGGAAAGGAAATGAAATTTAAGCCCAGAAATTCTAGTAGCATAAACTTATTTAAAGCCATTTTATTTTACTCATCATTCCCCCTCCACTACTTGCGATGTTCAAACATCTCCGCCAATGGACATTATTCTGGTCAACATTCGGTTCCATTCACGCGGCACCTTGGGGAATGGCATCGGCAGCTGGCGCCCATAAATTTGCGGTCTTAATTCAGTTTAGTGGCCTGCCCTCGATTTTGTTTCGCTGTTTTTCTGCTCTGGCCTAATCGCGCTAAATTAGATATAAGCCATGGCTGGCCAAAGCCAAATACGTGGTATGAAAGTGTGTGCTCGGCACCCAACTGGCGAAGAAGTCTGCGGTGATTGCTTTTATTTTTTGCTCTTTGGCATATAGAACAAATTATCGAACTAGTTTGTTTTTGTGTGTGGCCAATTTTTATTAGCTGTTTAGCGCATTATTTGGTTGGGAAAATTGTTTTTCCCATTTGTTGTTTCTCCGCCTTCCCGCAGAGCACTGACCAAAAACATGTTAATTGTCCGGCAGTAAATTAGGTTTGCCCTTGCAGACAGCTGTGAAAAGTCTACGTAATTGACAATCGCCTTTGCCCGATTAAAAGCGGAATTCCCAGGGCTCTGCTTATCTTATCGATTTAACTGAAATGGTCGACTAAGTGCTTTCGTTATTTAGGAATTCCCCAACGAATTGGTCATATTTTTGGGTGCCTGATTAGGAATTCGAAATTGCTGCTTAACTTATACTCTTCAGATTAATTGCAAGTTTACTTTTGAATACGTTTAATATTTCTTTACAACTTAAAAAATAATAGAATATGCTTCCTTCGGGTATTTGTCCAAGGGAAGAAGTCACAGCTCGCCACTTCAAACGACGTCATCATGACTGGTATAACCCTTGGGCAAACCATAGTAATTGTGATAAGCATTGGCCGAGTGCAATCAATCATAGGGTATAGATGACGACCAGTCAGATTGATTGCCCATTGTCGTAGGTGGGGCCAGTGGGAACGGGATCAGGAGCGGAGGTGGAATCTCTGTTGACGGATACGGATATCATCTCGGCTCGAACTGTTGATTCAGTGGATGCCACATACGAATGCCTGCTTTTCAGCAAAATAAGTTTTCACACGTCTGTATCCACTTCTTATTCCGGCCATCCTCTTCCTGCTGGCATTTTTTCTGCTTTTATAAGGGCGCTTTTCGGGCTTTCAGTGCCCCGGCTCGGCGACTGAATAAACACTATGGGTGCTCCGGCTGACCAAGTATGCCAGTGCTCAGATTTCTTTTGTCGCGACCGAGGCAGCCGCGAGCCGCCATATATTTCTCACGGACCAGCTCGTACAGCTCCTGCTGGAAGTAGCCGTGATCCAGCCAGCGTGCATCCTTGTGGCCGCGTCGTATTTGCTTATCCCTCAGCCGGAACTCGCGCCACAGCATCTGGAGCTGCAGCCATTTTTTGGCAATGAAGTCCAGCGTTTTTCGCTCGGATGGGGTCTTCTTGTAGTTGGAAATCGCGTGGAAAATGAAATTTGCATTGATTTGTTGCTGCAGAGCCAATTGATCCAGGGCCAGCCAACTGCCCTCCTCCTGGATCCCAGCCAGTACAGGATAGCTGGCGCTGAGCTTTAATGCGACAATGTTTGGCATAATTTTTGTGTTGCTTAATTTACCGACAGCACTGTCACTAGTTATAATTTATTTGTCAGGCTCTGTGTCCTCAATGACTTTTACTACCTCTCTTTGACAGGAACCTGCTTCGCCAACTAAATGTGTTAAAATGACTTTGAGGTGTTTTTATAGCGGCTGGAAATTCGATGTTGATAAAAATTCGCGCGAAAAAGTGTCGAAATGTGTGTGTTTATTAATACGTTACCTTCCAATAATAGTCGATGAGGTAATGTGAGTGCAGGTGATCAAATACAGACAGGGTTTTTTTCTATGATTTTAATTTAATTGCTTTGCTGAGTTTTTATAAGGAGACCCCTACGCAAATGCTTTCTTTTTTTTATTTGTTATTTTTCTACAAGGGTACAAGGTATTTAAAAATATCTTTAAACTAAAATATTTGTTATCAGGAAGACTATTTGTCTGGCTATTCATATAAAAAACCGATATCAGGGACTAAAAAACCCAATTTAATTAGCACATTTTTATTTTTTGTGTGTAGATGAAATTTGTGTACTAGCAAAAGCGTTGAACAAGAAATATTATTGTTACTACTTTGTTAATGTGTACTTCAATATAATATAAATATCCTTTCCGTTCTCAATAGATTTTTATCTTAAACACTTATTTCCTTGAGATATATACATTAACCTAATAATTTGGCAACGTATTTTAACAAAAGATCCCATAGCTTTTTCTATATAGATAGAGGAATTACCTCCATATGTGCTTCGAAAAATACCCTACGTTTTACGATGAACGCGAGGGGGTGTCGCCACAAGCCAAAACGCCAGTTATCAAATCACGCTCGCAGAGCTAGCTTCTGATTCATGGGGGCCAGTCGAATGTGCGCAATGCGCTATCGGGGAATTAATGCCCGATAAGCTAGATAAGCCCCAATCCGCACACATGCTCGGGTGTGAACACTGTGCACTCCCAGCACGCCTCCGAGGGCGATAGGGAAAGGGCCGGGCCGGGCACATTAGCCTACTCAACAAAATCGTAAGACCAAAGTCAATGAACAGAGCCGTTAAGCGTTACACTAGGCAACAAAATTTTATCGCCCCCAGTGGGGGGAAGGAGGTGTAATGCGTTGGAAAGAGATAGAAGTTCTTGGGTTCGGAGGGGCAGAGCGTGACAATGTTTGTCGTCAAGTGTCGCCGGCTCATCACTGATAATTGCTACGATTATCCACGCCCACGCCATCATCATCAACAACATCATTATCATCATCATCATCACTATCAACGAAACGCGCAGACCCACTCGGAATCGAGCATAAGTGTGTTTGGGGTAAAACCATTCGACCTATTCGTTATGTTCATGATTTAATTATGAGTTCTAGTGCAATAGTCAAGTGATGTTTGATTCAGGACCAAAAGGACCGCTTTTCGTCACGCGATTTATTGGAAAATAATGGTGAATAGGCAGAATTTTCTGTTGTGATAAATTTAATATTTATATTTTGTGGAAACTATTACGGTGGATAGTTAACATTTAGAGATGCATCAATTCACTGCAACAGACCTGAATGTATTAAGGTTTAAGGTTTATTATATTTAGTTGTTATCAACCCTTACTAATACCCTGCAATTTGGATTTCCTAAAATATTTAATTTACTATGCAGATTTTTATTTCAATTTTATCACCCATTATCACTGTTTATAAATGATTAAAATCATGTTAGCTGCCAATTATTATTATTACTGCTCAATACTGCTCATTTAATTTAATTCTTTTTGTTCAAACGTTGTATTTCAATGTTTAATCATTAATTTTTATATTCAGTTATTAAACAACGCTTAACTTTAAGAACATTCATATGTTTACATCTCGATAAACTTTAAATGCGATAAAAAATAGCTGTCTATGCATTTAAATTCATGCCATTTGAAAGCCCAAACAGAAAAGCCAATAAAGCGAGAGTCAATTAAGAGTCAGGGGGGGAAATCGAAAAAAAGTTATGGCCAAGTTTGATTTATAATAATGACTTTAGTCGAAATTGAATGGTTAGTGCATTTAAATTGGTTTATACACTCGTATTAAGACAATTTCGATAACATTATTAAATCGGATGCTTTTAGCGGTTAAAGAATGCAAACCATTATTTAATGTGCCTAAAGGCAACATTTAAATTCCGCTTTTTAAACTTATTTTAATGCATGTCTCAAGAGATGTATTATTTGTATGATTTTATTATGGATATTTATTTAATTATCTATTTCATTAGATTTTTTAAAGCCTTTCCTGATTTATCTGATTAGCAATTATTATTTATTAATTTAAAATACAGATTAACCTTTGCAAAACCCACAATACAACAAAAGCCTTCCCACAGAAGCCCACGCCACATTAGACACGCTTCATTCCTTCGCACATTTCATTGGTCAATTGACTGTGAAAACCTGTAAAAACAAAAACACAAGCACGGGAGGGGAAAGCACAACATCCAAGGACCAACAAGCCAACAAGCCACGGAAAATTACTAATGCATTTCTAAAGAGTTTTTCATCAACTAGAGTCCCCGGCAGCAGCTGCTAACTGGATGTTACCTGTAACCTGACTCTCGCTGCCATTCTTTAAAGCAAATATCATTAGCATTATGATGCCACCACTTACCCTGCCACCCCCGGCTCCCCGCGTCCATCATCCCGTTCCCGTTGGCATGTTCTCCTGGTTGCCAGGCAGCTGGGTCCCCGAGCTGCAGGCCCGCTTCGGTGGCCATCATCAGCCCGTTTCATATGCACATTCACACAAACAGCTCTGAGGGGCCACTCCTTCGCACAACCAGCGGACATATCACCCAAAGTGCTGTAAGGCAAGTCGAGTCCGGGTCTCGACATGAAAATTACCTGAGACCTAATAGTTAGGATAAAGGCATTATGTTAACGAAGAATATATTTTAATTCCTCAAATCTTGACTCAAATAGAGATATTTACGAATAAGCAAGAGATTAAAGAACGTTTTTGGGATATTTTAAATAGAAAACAATGCAAAATTCCTGACAATAGCAATAAAATATTATAATATGATATATAAAATATTTGAAATTTATTTTCTCTTTTTTGAAGATCTTATTTGTAATATCACAATGTACCCATATTAAAAGAGTACAGGGCGTTCAATTAATTTATATATATTATTATAGTATAGTATAGTATTATAGTATTAATTTTCTAAATATCATATTGACATTTGAACGCTTAGCTCTTATGATTGATTTTTCTAATAATTTATAAAATGAGCTTATATAACAAAAACGAACTTCCAATTGGATCAGAGTTGAGGTCTGATGATTACTATTTATTAAACATTACTTCGAATGTTTAAAAGTTAATTGCTATTATTAAATATTACGGCAAAACTGGCTTATTATATGAATTTATTATTTTACCATTATCAAGTTAATAATGATCTTAACGACTAATGATACCCAAAGTCACCATGGAAAAAGAAAAACTGTAAGCCCTCTGGTGGTAGTCCTCCCACCTTCCCAGCATAAACAACAACACTTGTGGGTGGGGAAACGCACAGTGAGTGAGAAAAATCATGTGCGCAAACACAAGGCAGATTGCAAAATCTATTGCCTACTTGTTGGTGCACTCTGTGCGCTCTGAGTGTGTGGGTGCGTGGGGAGATGTGAGCCTGTGTCAGTTGCTGGCTGTGTAAGTGTTGCAATCAGGTTTTCCGGGCCCAACTTTTTCCATTCCATATTACTTGAAAAGCAGTCGAGGCGAGCGATAAATATATACAGCATATTTCCATTTTCCGGATTGCATAAGCCAAAGCCAAAGCCACCTGGCTGTGTTTCAGCACTATGGCGGTGGTGTTAGTGGTTGTTCGGGCTTACTTATCCAGGCCATGCATTATTTTATTCAATTTTCGTCAATTTGTTGCCTGGATGCAGCACAAGATCAAGCAGCCAGCCATTCAATCAGCAGGATTTGCCACCCTTTCCCATCATTGCAGGCGATTTCCCTCTAAGAATGAACTGCATACTCTTGCATTTAGGCCCAACACTGTTTACTTATTCCAGCTCAAAGCAAGTCTGCGGGCAAAAATTGTTATGAAATTCCGGGCCCACTGCTATTATCCTGCCCATCTCTGTGTAAAGTGCCCTGCTTGTATGACAAGTTGTTAGAGTTGTTATTGATGTTGTAGCCGATGTTATTGCTGCTATCAGGCCACCCGCTCCGGCCCACTCTTGAACTCTGGCTTAAGCCATTGATTGCTTTCAGCCGGAGCATCGTTGATTTTTGACCTTTTCTGTCAAACCAGCTACAGCAGCAGCAGCAGCAAACTGAAGTTTTTAAGTCTTTTCGAAAATGTTTTAACTCCACTTCAGCTCTGCATCCTTTGGCCTGTATGCTTTATTTTGCATGTAGATGAGGACAAAAGCTGAATGATGGATAGGCATTTTGGTAGGCACAAGGCTGCAGAAGATTGCTTTGTCTGCCCCAAAACGTAAGTAAATGTCACTCTCTATCTCATGCTGTGGAATGCTACAAAATAATATTAGTAATTCTTCAGTTACTTGAAATTGTTTTAAAGTCCCTATTAAATTACAGAGCTTTCTATCCATAAAACATATTTTCTTCCGTTTAAATAGTTTTATTTTTATTTTCGCTTTATTTTTTCAGTAATTTTCTCCCCTAACCTCTTTGACGTTTCTCTTTGCAACCCCCCAGCAGACAAGCAAAAGTTATAATTCGCCATATAGACACATGCATTAGGGATGCGTGGGTTGCCGCGTGTGTAAATGGCAAAGGGAGGGGCCCTTAATAGGGGTCCTGTTTGTGTGCGTCATGCTTTTGCACGCGAAATTGCTCGGAAGTAATTTTGTTTACCTTTTATTTTGCGGTAATTGTTTGCATATGCAGCTGGCGAAATTGTCCTCCAATGGGTAACAAAAACACACAGCCAGGAAAGCGGCTGGCTGGCTGCCGGGGAAACTCCCCACACGGCCTCGAGCGGAAGGAGCGCGACCCGCGGCAACTATGAACCTGTCTGTATCCAGGTTGAGGAGAACAAGAAACGGAAGTGCGTGCGCGTGCGAGGATGAGCCTTTCATCTCCCATACCC